TCCTATCTTTATTTTTATTTCTGTATTTGTTTATGTCTATTTATTAAATTTTGTGTGTTTGGTACAGGGTCTCACTACGCATCTCAGACTTGTAGTGATCCTCCTTTTTCAGCTTCCCCAGCGCTGGGATTACAGGTTTGGGCCACAATGCCCAGTCTTGGGGATGGGGCTGGCAGTGCATGTGGTACTAGGGATCAAACCTAACCACTGATCTATCTCCAAGGCCATTCCTTTTATTTCTTTCTCTTCTTTAATTGCCCTGGTTAAAGTTTCCTGAACTATATTGAATAAAAGTTTTGACAGTATATCCTTGTCTTTTTTCTGATTATAGAGTGAAAGCTTTCAGTTTTTGTCTGTTTAGTATGTTGGCTGTTGGTTTGTCTATTAAAAGGTGGCTTTTAGCAGATTGAGTTAGTGACAATCTATTCCAATTGTCTGTGTTTTATTATTATTATAAATGGGTGTTGGACTTTGTCAAAAGCTTTTCTGTATCTGTTGAGCTACTTATGATTTTTGTCTTCAGTTCTGTTAATATGGCGTATTGTATTTATTGATTTGCATATATTGAACAGTCGATCCCTAGGATAAATCCAACTTGGTTGTGGTATATAATCTTCTTTTATGTATTTGGTAGGCATGCACCACCACCCCAGATTTTTTTTTTTTTTTTTTCAGAACCAGGGATTGAACTCAGGCCCTTGTGCTTGCCAGGCAAGCACTTATTCTACTGAGCTATCTCCCTGGCACCCTGGCCCAGATTTATAATCTTAATAATTTGCCGATTTTTTCCCCCAGTATCTTATTGAGGATTTTTGTGTTTGTGTTCATTAGGGAGATTGGCCTATAGTTCTATTTTAGTTGTGTCCTTGGCTGGTTTTGGTATTAGGGTAAGCTTGCTTCCAGGAATGAATTTGGAAATATTGTTTTCCTTTTAGTTTCATTTAGAGTTTGAGAAGTAGTGGCATTTTCGAAATTTCTTGTGGAATTTAGCAGTGAATTCACTGGGGCTTGGGCTTTTCTTTGTTGGAGTGTGTGTGTGTGTGTGTGTGTGTGTGTGTGTGTCTATTTGAGACAAAAACTGCTATGCTATGCAAGCTAACCTTGACCTCACTTGTAGCCCATGGTGGCCTGGAACTCATAGTCCTCATCCTTCTTCAGCCTCCTGAGTGCTGGGATTACAGGCGTGTGCCATCATGCCTGGTTTGGCACATTTTTAATTACATCTTCAATTTCATTGATTGATATTGGTTTATGTACCATTTTTATATCTTGATTCAGCTTCAGTAAATCATATGTATCTAGTAATCTGTCCATTTTTTCTGCATTTTCCACCTTACTTGAATACACATTCTCAAAGTAGATATAGAGATGGTCTTCTCAATTTCTGTTGGATCAGCTTATTTCACCTATTTCATTCCTTATAGATTGGAAGCTTTTCTTTCTTTCTTTTCTTTATTTTTTTGTTTGCTTTTGGATAAGGTTGGCTGAGGATTTTTGCATTTTTAATCTTTCAGAGAACCAACTCTTTGATTTATTGGTTTGTTTTTTTTTTTCTTTTTTGTATTGTTAGTCTCCATCACATTAATTTGTGCTTTGATTTGTATAGTTTCCTCCCTCATACAAGCTTTGGGCTTGGTCTGCTTTTCTTTTTGCAGAAGAAAAAGTAAAAGGTTCAACATTAAGTTGTTTATTTGAGCTTACTGTTTTCTGATATGGCTATTCACTGCTATAAATTTCTCTCATAGGACTTCTTTCATTGTGTCTTATAAGTTCCAGTATATTGTATTGTTGTTATCATTTAATTGTAGAAACTGTCTGCTTTCTCTTTTTTTCTTTCTCTCTTTTCATTCTTTTTATTAGTTTTTGGGACTTGAACTCAGGACCTTGCACTTGCCAGGCAGGCACCGTGCCACTAATTTCTTTAATTTCATCTGTGACCTATTAGTTGTTCAGGAGGGTATTAATTTAATTTCCATATATTTAGGAAGTTCTTATGGTTTCTTTTGCTATTGATTTCCAATTTCATTGCGCTATGTTCTGATAATGTGCATGGGAAAACTTCAGTTCCTTTACATTTACTTATGCATGTTCTTTTTATGAACTAGTATAGGATTTATTTTGGAGAATGTTCCATGTGCAACTGAGAAGAACGTGTATTCTGATATTGTGAGGGGAACACTCTGTAGACATTTAC